ATTACATCAACACTTTACACCTATCTACTTTGCCTTCCATCGCACTCTGGAATCGACTGATGAAACCTGCAGTTCATGTTCATCAATAAAAAATTCTCAATACAAACCCATGGCCCCACTCCTCAAAAAACAAAAAAAAAACCTCCCCCAACACAACAAAACTGATAAAACAGTTAATCTAAAAAAAATCCATTGTTACAGTCTTTGAAATTATCAAGCTAAAGCACACAAAAAACAAAGGTCGCGACACAAAGTTAGTTAATTCACCCCCCTAGATTTTTCAGAATTTTCGAGGATAATTTTTTAAACCCCACCAAAAAAAAAAAAATTAGAATTTTTTAACTAAAGTTATTGAATTAATCTTTCTTTTTAAAGATGTTGGCTTTGTATAAGAATGTAAATTGTTTTAATTTTAAAAAAAAAAAGAAAATAGGAAGGAGAACTGTAGCGCCGTCGACCCCAAAGAACATGTACAACCCCCCTTACTAACTGACCCATGTAACGTCACCCCTTCCCCTCACGCCCATGTAACATGTACACCCACCTCACTAATGACCCATGTAACATGTACCCCACCTTCACTTCTGACCCATTAACATTACACCCCCCCTTCACTCTACAGACCCAGAAAGAAACCCACCTTCACTATACTGACCCATGAACATTACCCCCCTTCACTCTACTGCCCCCCATTTTTAACAGGCCCCCCCTTCACTCTCTGACCCTGAACATTACACCCCCTTACTCACGACCCATGAAAAATGTAAACCCACCTTCACTCTACTGACCCAGAACAGTAAAAACCCACCTTCATTTAAAACTGCCCATGAACAGTACACCCACCTCACCTACTGACCCATGAACAGTCACCCACCTTACTCTACGACCCATGAAAGTAAAACCCACCTTCATATACGACCCAGAACAGTACACCCACCTCACTCAAACTGACCCATGAACAGTAACACCCACCCACTCTAACGCCCATGAACATGTAAAACCCCCCCCCTTTCACCTACTGACCCATGAAAAATACACCCCCCCTCACTTACTGACCCATGAACATACACCCACCTTCACTCTACGCCCCAAATGAACAGAAAACCACCTCACTCTACGACCCATGAACAGTAAAACCCCCCCTTACTTTTAGACCCTTTAATGTACACCCCCCTTCACTTACTGACCCATGAACATTTACACCCACCTTCACTCTACGACCCATGAACTACACCCACCTTCACTCACTGACCCTGAACAGTACACCCCAAACCTTCACTCTCGACCCATGAACAGTACACCCACCCCCTCTACTGCCCCATGAACAGTAAAGCCACCTTTCACTTACGCCCCCATGAACAGTACACCCACCTTACTCTACTGACCCTTTAACATACAGCACCTCACTTACTGACCCATGAACAGAAAACCCCCCTTTCACTCTACTACCCAGAACAGACAGCCCCCCCCCTCTACTGACCCATGAACAGTACACCCCCTTCACTCTACGACCCATGAACAGTACACCACCTCACTTACTGACCCAGAACCAGTACCCCCACCTTCACCTACTGACCCTTAAATTTAAAACACCCACTCTTACTGACCCTTTAACAGTAAAAACCCACCTTACCACGACCCATGAAAGTACACCCACCTCACCTACTGACCCTTTTAACTTTACACCCACCTTCCCCTTACTGACCCATGAACAGTAAAAACCCACCTTACTTACTAAACCCTTTAACAGTACACCACCTTCACTCTACGACCCATGAACAGTACCCCACCTCACTCTACTGACCCATGAACAGGTACACCCCCCTTTCACTCTACTGCCCCCTGAACAGTACACCCACCTTACTTACTGACCCATGAACAGAAAACCCACCTCACCACTGACCCATGAACAGTAAAAACCACCTTTCACTCACTAAACCCATGAACATTTACACCCACCCTTACTTACTGACCCATGAACGTACACCACCTTACTTACTGACCCATGAACAGTCACCCACCTTCACTCTACGACCCATGAACAGTACACCCACCTTACTTACTGCCCAGAACAGTACCCCCACCTTACTTACTGACCCAGAACAGTAACCCACCTCACTCTACTGACCCGACAGTACGCCCACCTCACTCTATGACCCATGAACAGTACACCCCCCACCTTCACTCAAACTGACCCATGAACAGTACACCCACCTTACTCTACTGACCCATGAACATTACACCACCTTACTTACTGCCCATGAACATTACAGCCACCTCACTCTACTGACCCGGAACAGTACACCCACCTTCACTCTACTGACCCTTTACAGTACACCCCCCTTACTTACGACCCATGAACGTAAAAACCCACCTTACTTTTACTGACCCATGAACATTAAAAACCACCTTCACTCTACGACCCATGAACGGGTACACCCACCTTACTTACGACCCATGTAACTAAACACCCACCTTACTTACTGACCCATGAACATTAACCCCCCACTCTCTGACCCTGAACAAAAACCCCCCTTTTCCACTTTACGACCCAGAACTTACACCACCCCCTCTACGCCCTTTAACAGTACACCCACCTTAACTTTACTGACCCATGAACAGGAAAACCCCCCCCTCACTCTCTACCCATGAACAGGTACACCCACCCACTCATTTTCCCCTTTAACAGTACCCCCCCCCTTTTTTACGACCCTTTAACAGTACCCCCATTTTTACTTACGACCCTTTAACAGTCACCCACCTTCACCTACTGACCCAAACGTACACCCCCTACTTACTGACCCAGCAACAGGTACACCCACCCTCACTCTACTGACCCATGCAACAGGTACACCCACCCTCACTCTACTGACCCATGCAACAGGTACACCCACCTTCCCCACTGACCCAGAAAACGGGTACCCCACCCTACTTCTACCATGCAACAGGTACACCCACCCTCACTCTACTAAACCCATGAAACAGTAAAAACCCACCCCACTCTACGACCACAACAGGTACACCCCCCCTACTTACGACCCAGCAACAGGTACACCCCCCTTCACTCTACAACCCATGAACATTACACCCCCCTTTACTTACTGACCCTTTAACATCCCCACCTCCCTACGCCCCATGCAACGGGTAAAACCCACCCTCACCCACTGACCCATGCAACAGAAAAACCCACCCTCACTCTACTGACCCATGCAACAGGTACACCCACCCTCACTCTACTGACCCATGCAACAGGTACACCCACCCTCACTCTACTGACCCATGCAACAGGTACACCCACCCTCACTCTACTGACCCATGCAACAGGTACACCCACCCTCACTCAACTGACCCCCATCAACAGGTACACCACCCTTACTCTACTGACCCAGCAACGGGGGTAAAAACCCACCCCACTCTACTGACCCATGCAACAGGTACACCCCCCCTTTACTCATGCCCCCATGCAACGGGTACACCCACCCCCTCTACTGACCCATCAACAGGTACACCCACCCTCACCAAACTGCCCCACAACAGTACAACCCCCCCTACTCTACGACCCATGCAACATACACCCACCCTCACTCTACTGACCCATGCAACAGGTACACCCACCCTCACTCTACTGACCCATGCAACAGGTACACCCACCCTCACTCTACTGACCCATGCAACGTACACCCCCCTCCTCTACTGACCAGCAACAGGTACACCCACCCTCACTCTACTGACCCATGCAACAGGTACACCCACCCTCACTCTACTGACCCATGCAACAGGTACACCCACCCTCACTCTACGACCCATAAAACAGGTAAAAAACACCCACCCCACTCTACGACCCATGCACAGGTACACCCACCCTCCTCTACTGACCCATGCAACAGTACACCCCACCCTCACTCCCTGACCCATGCAACAGGTACACCCACCCTCACTCTACTGACCCATGCAACAGGTACACCCACCCTCACTCTACTGACCCATGCAACAGGTACACCCACCCTCACTCACGCCCCATGCAACGGGTACACCCACCCCACTCAACTGACCCATGCAACGGGTACACCCCACCCTCACTCTACGACCATGCAACAGGTAAAAACCCCCCTCACTCACGACCCTGCAACAGGTCACCCACCCTCCTCAAACGGGAACCCTAAACAAGGTACACCCCCCCTCACTACTGACCCATGCAACGGGTACACCCACCCTCACTCACTGACCCATGCAACAGTACCCCCCCTCACTCTACTGACCCATGAAAACGTACACCCCCCCTACCCTACGACCCATGAAACAGGAAACCCCCACCCTACTCTACGACCCATGCAAAGGTAAAAACCCACCCTCACTCTATGACCCATCAACAGGTCACCCACCCCCTCTACTGCCCCATAAACAGGTAAACCCCCCTTTCCTCTACTGACCCATGCAAAGGTACACCCACCCCCCACCTACTACCCCATGCAACAGGTAAACCCCCACCCTCACTCTATGCCCATGCAACAGGAAACCCCACCCCACTCTATTTCCCCATGCAACAGTAAAAAACCCACCCTCACTCTACTGACCCATGAAAACGGGTACCCCCCCACCCTCACTCTACTGCCCAGCAAAAGGTACACCCACCCCACCTCTGACCATGAAAACAGGAAAACCCCACCCTCACTCTACTACCCATCAACGGGTACACCCACCCTACCACAGACAGGGCCATCCTATTTAAGTTTAAAACCCCCAAATTTTTGTTTCAGTGGCTGCCTTCAAGATTTTTTTCAACTCCCCAACTCCAACAATCAATCCCGTGTTTTGGTTACACCTTTTAATGAGACAATAAACCCAAATGTAGAAATGGTTTTATTGACTGTTCTGAAACTTGTTTGACAGTTAAGATATGATGGCCCTCGGGCCCCCGACGGGTTTTACTCTGACCATGTATTTTTATCTTGCACCGGGATGTTGACTTTCTTCCTTCTGGCGGCTTTCCATGGAACACTTTCTATTTGCCTGGGTTCCCTCCTCCTGACCTTAAAAGTATGATATGTCGGGCCGAAGTAAAAATTGTGCACACACACACACACACAAAAACCCACACACACACACACACACACACACACACACACACACACACACACACACACCACACACACACACACACACATACACACACACACACACATACACACAAGAAACGACCGAGAGGTATGTCAGGAGCTCAACACGAGATTTAAAGAAGTATTTACAGTGGAAACCAGTAGGACTCCAGGAAATCAGAGCAGGGGGGTACACCAGCAAGTGCTGGATGAGGTACATATAACCAAGGAGGAGGTGAAGAAGCTGCTATGCGAACTTGACACCTCAAAGGCGGTGGGACCAGACAACATCTCTCCGTGGGTCCTTAAAGAGGGAGCAGAGATATTGTGTGTGCCATTAACAAAGATCTTCAACACATCATTTGAAACTGGGCAACTCCCTGAGGTATGGAAAATGGCAAATGTAGTCCCAATTTTTAAAAAGGCAGACAGACATGAGGCACTAAACTACAGACCTGTATCTCTAACGTGTATAGTATGCAAGGTCATGGAGAAGATCATCAGGAGGAGAGTGGTGGAGCACCTGGAAAAAAACAAGTGTATAATTGACAACCAGCATGGCTTCAGGGAAGGAAAACCTGTGTCACAAACCTACTAGAGTTTTATGACAAGGTGATAGAAGTAAGACAAGAGAGAGGGGGTGGATCGACTGCATTTTTTTTTTGGACTGCAAGAAGGCCTTCGACACAGTTCCTCACAAGAGGTTACTGCAAAAGCTAGAGGATCAGGCACACATAACAGGAAAGGCACTGCAATAGATCAGAGAATACCTGACAGGGAGGCAACAACGAGTCATGGTACGTGACGAGGTGTCAGAGTGGGCGCCTGTGACAAGCGGGGTTCCACAGGGTTCAGTCCTAGGATCTGTGCTGTTCTTGGTATATGTGAACGACATAACGAAAGGGATAGACTCAGAAGTGTCCTTGTTTGCGGACGATGTGAAGTTAATGAGAAGAATCAAATCGGATGAGGATCAGTCAGGACTACAAAGAGACCTGGACAGGCTACAAGCCTGGTCCAGCAACTGGCTCCTTGAGTTTAACCCTGCCAAATGCAAAGTCATGAAGATTGGGGAAGGGCAAAGAAGACCGCAGACACAATATAGTTTAGATGGCCAAAGACTGCAAACCTCACTCAAGGAAAAAGATCTGGGGGTGAGTATAACACCGAGCATATCTCCTGAGGCGCACATCAATCAGATAACTGCTGCAGCATACGGGCGCCTGGCAAACCTACAGATAGCGTGCCGATACCTCAGTAAGGAGTCGTTCAAGACTCTGTATACCATTTACGTCAGGCCCATACTGGAGTATGCAGCACCAGTTTGGAATCCACACCTAGTCAAGCACGTCAAGAAATTAGAGAAAGTGCAAAGGTTTGCAACAAGACTAGTCCCAGAGCTACGGGGATTGTCCTACGAAGAAAGGTTGAGGGAAATCGGCCTGACGACACTGGAGGACAGGAGGGTCAGGGGAGACATGATAACGACATATAAAATACTGCGCGGAATAGACAAGATGGACAAAGACGGGATGTTCCAGAGCTGGGACACAGACACAAGAGGTCACAATTGGAAGTTGAAGACTCAGATGAATCAAAGGGATGTTAGGAAGTATTTCTTCAATTATAGAGTAGTCAGGCCGTGGAATAGCCTAGAAAGTGACGTAGTGGAGGCGGGAACCATACATAGTTTTAAGGCGAGGTATGATAAAGCTCATGGGGCAGGAGAGAGAGGACCTAGTAGCAATCAGCGAAGAGGCGGGGCCAGGAGCTATGACTCGATCCCCTGCAACCACAAATAGGTGAGTACACCCACACAACACACACACACACACACTAGGTTGCATGACCTAGTAGCGACCGGTGAAGAGGCGGGGCCAGGAGCTATGAATCAACCCCTGCAACCACAATTAGGTGAGTACATGTCCTTCGAGGAGAGGTTAAGAGAAATCGACCTGACGAAACTGGAGGACAGGAGAGAGAGAGGGAAGACATGATAACGACATATAAAATACTGAGTGGAATCGATAAGATGAACAGAGACACAATGTTACAGAGATGGGACACAGCAACAAGGAGTTACAATTGGAAGTTGAAGACTCAAATGAATCACAGTGATGTCAGGAAGTATTTCTTTAGTCACAGAGTTGTCAGGAAGTGGAACAGTCTGGAAAGTGAGGTACTGGAGGCTGGTACCATACATAGCTTTAAGAAGAGGTATGATAAAGCTCATGAAGCAAGGAGAAAGTGACCTAGTAGCGCCCAGGGAAGACGCGGGGCCAGGAGCTATCACTCGACCCCTGCAACCACAATTAGGGGTTTACACACACACACACCTAGTGGCGACCAGTGAAGAGGCGGGACCAGGAGCTATAAATCGACCCCTGCAACCACAATTAGGTGATTACGTACACACGCACATGGAGAAGATTATCAGAAGAAGAGTAATGGAGCACCTAGAAAGGAATAAGCACGGTTTCAGGGATGGGAAATCCTGTGTCACAAACCTATTGGAGTTTTATGACATGGTGACAGCAGTAAGACAAGAGAGGGATGGGTAGATTGCATTTTCTTGGACTGTAAGAAGGCGCGTGACACAGTTCCACACAAGAGTTTAGTGCAAAAACTGGAGGACCAAGCAGGGATAACAGGGAAGGCACTACATTGGATCAGGGAATACTTGTCAGGAAGACAGCAGCGAGTCATGGTACGTGGCGAGGTGTCAGAGTGGGCACCTGTGACCAGCGGGGTCCCGCAGGGGTCAGTCCTAGGACCAGTGCTGTTTCTGGTATTTGTGAATGACATGACGGAAGGAATAGACTCCGAAGTGTCCCTGTTTGCAGATGACGTGAAGTTGATGAGAAAAATTCATTCAATCGAAGACCAGGCAGAACTACAAAGGGATCTGGACAGGCTGCAGACCTGGTCCAGCAATTGGCTACTGGAGTTCAAACCCCACCAAGTGCAAAGTCATGAAGATGGGCAAGGGCAAAGAAGACGGCAGACGGAGTACAGTCTAGGCCAGACACAAACCTCACCAAGGAAAAAGTTTTTGGTACCTGTAACACCAGCAGCAAATCTCCTGAGGCGCACATCACCAATAACTGCTGCGCAATTGGGCGCCTATCAAACCTCAAACAGCATCCGACCCTAATAGGAATCGTTAGGACCCTGTACACTGGTACATTAGCCCATATAGGGTTATGCGGCACAGTTGGACCCACACCTACCAAGCACGGTAAAGAAAATGAGAAAGTGTAAAGGTTTGCAACAAGACTAGTCCCAGAGCTAAGGGGTATGTCCTACGAGGAGAGGTTAAGGGAAATCGACCTGACGACACTGGAGGACAGGAGAGATAGGGGGGACATGATAACGACATATAAAATACTGAGAGGAATTGACAAGGTGGACAAAGACAGGATGTTCCAGAGATGGGACACCACAACAAGGGGACACAGTTGGAAGCTGAAGACACAGAGTAGTGAGGAAGTGGAACAGTTTGGGAAGCGATGTAATGGAGGCAGGAACCATACATAGCTTTAAGCAGAGGTGGAGAGTGAACCAGTAGCGACCAGTGAAGAGGCAACCACAACCCCTGCAACCACAACTAGGTGAGTACACACACACACACCCCAACACACACACACACACACACACACACACACACACAGAGGTATGATAAAGCTCACAGCTCAGGGAGAGTGACCTAGTAGCGATCAGTGAAGAGGCGGGGCCAGGAGCTCGGACTCGACCCCCGCAACCTCAACTAGGTGAGTACAACTAGGTGAGTACACACACACCAGAAACATGGAGGGCTAAGATGTTGGAGACTGTATTGGAGAACTTCATGCACCAACATGTTAGGGATACAACCAGAGAGAGAGGAGAGGATGTTGCAGCAAGGCTGGATCTCATATTCACCTTGAATAGTTCAGACATAAGGGAAATCACCCACGAAAGACCCCTTGGCGCTAGTGATCATGATGTCCTGAGTTTTGAATATCTTGTCGAGTTAACAGTGGAGAATGCAGCAGCACAAGAACAAAGAGAAAACCAAACTTCAAAAAAGGGGACTACATAGGAATGAGAAGTTTTCCTGCATGAAGTGCAGTGGGAAAGAGAACTAGATGGAAAAAATAGTAAATGAAATGATGGAAATAGTAACCACTAAGTTCAGGGAGGCAGAGGGGAAAAGGGTTCATACCAAAGGGCAACAGAAAAAATGGTAAGACCAGAGTGAGCCATGGTTTAATTGGAGGTGTAAAAGAGGCCAAAGCCAAGTGTGCGAGAGCATGGAAAAGGTTTATACCAGGCAAAGGACTCAAGAAAACAGGAGCTGAGCAGAAGAACCAGAAACGAATATGCAAGGATAAGGGAGAGAGGCCCAGAGGCAATACGAGAACGACCCTAGCATCAAAAGCCAAATCTGAACCAAAGTTGTTATACAGTCACATTAGGAGAAAAAAGAACAGTCAAGGACCAGGTAATCAGGCTGAGGAAAGAAGGAGGGGAGTTCACGAAGAGTGACCAAGAAGTATGTGATGAACTAAACAAAAGATTTAGAGAAGTATTCACAATAGTCAGGAATGCTTCCAGCAAACTGTGGAGGTAGGGTTCACCAGCAGGTGCTGGATACAATACACATAACCAAGGTAGAGGTGAAGAAACTGCTAGACGAACTCGATACCTCAAAGGCGGTGGGCCCAGATAACATATCTCCATGGATAGTGAGAGAGGGAGCAGAGGAACTGTGTGTGTGCCATTAGCAGCAATCTTCAGTAAATCTATCGAAACAGGGCAGTTGCCTGAGGCGTGGAAGACAGCACTTGTAGTTCCAATTTTTAAGAAAGGGGACAGACAGGCAGCATTATACTACAGACCAGTGTCACTGACTTGTATAGTATGTAAGGTCATGGAAAAGATTGTCAGGAGAAGAGTGGTGGAACACATTGAAAAAATTTGATTCATACATGACAGCACGGCTTCGGAGATGGGAAATCCTATATCACAAATCTACTTGAGTTCTACGATAAGGTAACAGAAGTAAGACAGGAGAGAGAGGGATGGGTAGATTGCATCTTTTTAGACTGCAAGAAGGCTTTTGACACAGTACCACACAAGAGACTGGTGCAAAAATTAGAGGAGCAGGCAGGAATAACGGGGAAAGTACTGCAATGGATCAGGGAATACCTGACAGGAAGGAAACAACGAGTGTTGGTACGTGCTGAAGTGTCCGAGTGGGCGAATGTGTCGAGTGGGGTTCCACAAGGGTCAGTCCTAGGCCCGGTGCTGTTTCTTGTATACGTGAATGACATGGTTGAAGGAATAGATTCAGACGTGTCACTGTTCGCTGATGATGTGAAACTGATGAGGAGAATACAAGTGGGAGAGGATCAGTTAAGATTACAAAGAGATCTGGACAGACTACAAGTATGGTCCGACAAATGGCTACTGGAGTTTAACCCCAGTAAGTGTAAGGTCATGAAGATTGGAGAAGGACACAGAAGACCGCAGACAGTGTACAGGTTAGGAAACCAACAGCTGCAAACGTCAAAGAAAAGGACTTGGGGTAAGTACACACACACACACACACACACACACACACACACACACACACACACACACACACACACACACACACACACACACACACAATATCCGTTGGATATTAAACTTGTATTTATCAATAAATTTTGTAATAATGTGATTCATATTTCTTTTACTATAATTATTTTAGATTCTTATTACTTATTCTTCAAAATATTCGTCAAATTCGCTGCTTCTTTCTCGACAAATTTAAATAAACACAACAATACTGGTTTGGTTGAGAGTAAGAACGTTGTTTCCTGTTACATTACTACCTGGAGGATATTCCGGGGGTCAGCGCCCCCGCGGCCCGGTCCACCACCAGACTGCCGGGTGGATCAGGGCCTGATCAACCAGGCTGTTACTGCTGGCTGCACGTATTGCAACATATGAACCACAGCCTGGTTGATCCGGTACCGGACTGTGGTTCGTCTTAATGTTTCCACCTTTAATAACAATGTGACTTTTTGGTTCTCATTAGGACAGACCCAAAAACACTTCCCTGGCTTAATATCTCCTGTAGATGATTCCCATTCATTAGGCGCTTTATGACTCCTGTGGGTTTAGCGCTATCCCTTAAATATAATAATAATTGACACGTTTGATCAGGCAGGTGCTACGTACTCCAAGATGGGGCTGACATATACAGCGTATAGTGTAGTGAATGATTCCTTAAGATTCTTGAAACCTAGTCTTAGATTTACCAGACGCCACGTCTTTGCTGTAAAGGTTATTCGGTTGATGTGAGCCTCAGGAGATATGTTCCATGCGATACTCACCCCGAGGTCTGTCGTCTTGACAGATATTAACATCCTTAGTTCTCCAAGCGTATATTGTTTCCGGTTTTCTTTGCTCCTCCCGATTTTCTTAGCGTTGCATTTTCTGGGGTTAAATTTACATATTCATTTGTTATTCCATTCCTGTAGCTTGTTTTGTACTCACCTATTTGTGGTTGTTACAGGGGTAGAGTCACTGCTCCTGGCCCTTCCTCTTTGCTGGTCGCTACTCTATGAGTAGCTACCTGAAGAAATACTTCCTAACATTCCCGTGACACATCTGAGTTCTCAACTTCTAGTTGTGACACCTTGTTGCTGTGTTCCATCTCTGGAACATTCTGTCCCTATCCACCCTGTCAATTCCTCAGTATTTTCTGTATAGGAGTGTATGTGTGTGTGCTCATTGTCTTTGTATATACAGGCGTGTGAGCACCTCGGAGCGCTGGAGGTATGTGTTACACTCAGTGTGGGCATGGGGGGTACCAGGCTTCATCACTGCCCTCGCCCTCTCTTTGGACCACTACCGCACCTATCTCCCTTCCCTGCAATGTCATCACTCCCAGGGTGGGACTCTACAAGTGTTTCTTCTCTGGTGAGTCCTCTGTTCTCTTCTCTCCCACTGGTTAGTGGGGGTTAAATACCCCACTGAAAATAAGTCACTTTGTATTATATAAAATTGTACTTATGTATACATGTGTCTAACTTACTTAATGAGGTTCACATGACTCAAGAAATCGTAATGACACGATTGCAAACAAACCATACTCCCGGCCGGGGGTATGGTTAATGAGGTTCATTAAGGCTCCATAATAACCTGATCATCACCAGTCAAGAATGATTAATCCCTTAAGCTTAATTTCTCACCATATATGCTAATAAATAAAACATACACGGTGTATGTCTAATGAACGTGTAGGAGTGTAGGTAGACAATAACAAAACCCAGTAAGTGGAGATAAAGACACTGGTCTCATTCTTGTCAAGTCTACAGGAATAAACAAATACTAACTTATTAGGCAAACGAACACCACGATGTCAGGCTTGAAGAAAGATAGGTCACATGTGAGGTCAGGCTTGAAGAAAGATAGGTCACATGTGAGGTCAGGCTTGAAGAAAGATAGGTCACATGTGAGGTCAGGCTTGAAGAAAGATAGGTCACATGTGAGGTCAGGCTTGAAGAAAGATAGGTCACATGTGAGGTCAGGCTTGAAGAAAAACAAGTCACATATGAGGTCATAAAACTGCAAGATCAGGTGTGGTAAGGTCGGGAAATAGAAAGGCACGTTTGGTAATAGATGTGATGGGTGGATAAACTCCCGAAAACAGTTCTGAGGGTTTTAAAACGGGGTGTTAGTTTTAAAATAAGTTGAACACCATGAGTGGGTGGGTGGGTTGGTGGACCTGACTACTTGTGCTGTGGGTCTGGTCCCATGCTCCATCCTGAGTGGGGTGACCAGGCTGGGGGGGTCTTCGGTAATCCGGGGGGGGGGAAAAATGGACCTGCTCCGCTTGGTCAGTAGGCCTGTTGCAGTTTCCTTCTTTCATTTTCTTATGTTTCTTATTGGTAAGACCTAGGATAACCCAAAAAGCAGAACGAGTGCTTATTCCATTGGGTCCTTTTTCCTTTAAATTATTTTTAATAAAAAGGTTATAAAAATCTTCTTATTATTCTATAATGAAGTAACTCTTAATTCTTACTAAACCGACTTCTACTACACCAAGGTCATTAAGACTATTACTACTGTGCCTGAATAGCCTCGGGCTGTGCCTGACAAAAGCCATGGCTGTGCTGACATACCCTGGCTGTGCCTGACATAGCCAGCTGGCTGTGTCTGAAAACCCCAGCTACCTGTGCCTGACATACACCTGGCTGTGCCCGACATACACAGCTACCTATGCCTGACATACACCTGGCTGTGCCTGACATACACCTGGCTGTGCCTGACATACACCTGGCTGTGCCTGACATACACCTGGCTGTGCCTGACATACACCTGGCTGTGCCTGACATACACCTGGCTGTGCCTGACATACACCTGGCTGTGCCTGACATACACCTGGCTGTGCCTGACATAACCCTGCTGTGCCTGACATAACCTAGCTGTGCTGACATACACATCTACCTGTGCCGGGACATGCACCTGGCTGTGCCTGACATACACCTGGCTGTGCCTGACTACCCCCTGGCTGTGCTGACATACACCTGGCTGTGCCTGACATACACCTGGCTGTGCCTGACATACACCTGGCTGTGCCTGACATACACCTGGCTGTGCCTGACATACACCTAGCTGTGCCTGACATACACCTGGCTGTGCCTGACATACACCTGGCTGTGCCTGACTTTACACCTAGCTGTGCTGACAATCCCACCTGGCTGTGCCTGACATACACCTGGCTGTGCCTGACATACACATCTACCTGTGCCTGACATGCACCTGGCTGTGCCTGACATGCACCTGGCTGTGCCTGACATACACATCTACCTGTGCCTGACATACACCTGGCTGTGCCTGACATACACCGGGCTGTCCCTGACATACCCTGGCTGTGCCTGACAAAACACATCTCCCTGTCCCTGACTGCACCTGGCTGGGGCAGCCATCCCACCTGGCTGTGCCTGACATGCACCTGGCTGTGCCTGACATACACATTACTGTCCCTGACAGCACCTGGCTGTGCCTGCCCGCAACCTGGCTGTGCCTGACATGCACCTGGCTGTGCCTGACATGCACCTGGCTGTGCCTGACATGCACCTGGCTGTGCCTGACATACACATCTACCTGTGCCTGACATACACCTGGCTGTGCCTGACATACACCTGGCTGTGCCTGACATACACCTGGCTGTGCCTGACATACACATCTACCTGTGCCTGACATGCACCTGGCTGTGCCTGACATGCACCTGGCTGCGCATGACCTCACGATGCTCGTTTGTCTCTTAAAATAATGGATTATCTACAACCAGTGTGTTTATTTTCTATCAGCTTTCCCCGGAAATTCATCAACCATACGTGAGTAAGCTAGACAATCTTTTTTTAATCAATGGGATGCGCTAAACCCATAAGGAATATGGTTCCCCGTGGCTTGGTGGCTCAAGCTCTCGTTTCACACGGTGTTTTCTGGGCTTGATTCCCGGCGAGGGTAGAAACATTGGGCGTGTTTCTTTAAACCGGTTGTCTGCGTTTACCCATCAGTAAAATGGGTACCTGGGTGTTAGTGGACTGGTGTGAGTCACAAGCTGGGACAAAACTGACCTAATATGCGGGAAATGCTCAGCATAACAAGCAGCTTTCTATATACTAGTATGTCACTGATGTCAGCTATGGTGTATATACCTTGTACATGTACTAGTTGAAATAAGAACATAAGAAAGGAGGAACACTGCAACAGGCCTGTTGGCCCATACTAGGCAGGTCCTTCACAGATCCTTCCCACTAATAGAATATTTGCCCTCATAAGAACATACGAAATAAGGAACACTGCAACAGCCCTACTGGTCTATGCGAGGCAGCTCCAATTCTTCCCACCGGTTTAAGCCAATGCCTTGACCTGGTGAGGTGAGACACGTCACTTAAGGGAGGAGTACTGCATTCGACCTAGTAGCTAGTCAAGTCCAACTCACACCCACCCACACCCACTCATGTATTTATCCAACCTATTTTTAAAACGACACAATGTCTTAGCGTCTATGACGGTACTCGAGAGTTTGTTCCACTCATCCACAACTCTATTATCAAACCAATGCTTTCCTATATCCTTCCTGAATCTGAATTTTTCAAATTTAAAACCATTGCTGCGAGTCCTGTCTATGTTAGATATTTTTAGGACGCTATTTACATCCCCTTTACTAATTCCTGCTTTCCATTTATACATCTCAATCATATTCCACCTAATTCTACGCCTTTCTGAGAGTGCAGATTTTAGGGCCCTCAGTCTTTCCTCATGGGGGAAAATTTTCTACTGGGACAACTTTTTCATCCCCCTTTGTACGTTTTCCAGAGCATTTATATCCATTCTGTAATATGGTGACCAGAACTGAGCAGCATAGTCTAAATGAGGCTAACAAAGATATATAGAGTTGAAGAACAACCTGAGGACTTTATTATTTATACTTTAGATATGAAGCCAGAATTCTGTTAGCTTTATTTCGAACACTAATGCACTGTTGTCTTAGTTTTAGATTACTGCTAACCAGAACTCCTAAATACTTTTTGCAATCTGTAATATTAAGATCTACATTATTTAGTTTATATGTGGCATGGTTATTTAACTGTCCAACATTTAGAACTTTGCATTTGTCTATATTAAACTGCATCTGCAACTTCTCCGACCATTGCATCAGTCTATTCAAATCATCTTGTAGTGCTCCAGTGTCCTCATTAGAATGAATTGGACGGCCTATTTTGGTGTTATCAGCAAATTTGCTTATGTCGCTATTTATTCCGTCATCTATGTCAGGTAAGACACATATGCAACAGTTAGGTATCTTTATTTCGAAACGTTTCGCCGACACAGTAGGCTTCTTCAGTCGAGTACAGAAAAGTTGATAGAAGCAGAAGATACTTGAAGACGATATAATCAGTCCATCACCCTTAAAGTTTTGAGGTGGTCAGTCCCTCAGTCTGGAGAAGAGCATTGTTCCGTTGTCTGAAACAATATGAAGTTGAAGTGACAGGATGGAACCTTATATAGTGCCAGGAGGTGAGACGTAGGTTGCTTTGGGAGGGCAGGTCCCTCTCAAACTCAGCCGTTCTCACTAGTAGAGGTTGTCGAAGTTGATGGTCTGTACCAAGATACCCTTTTGTTGCAGTGTCTGACAGAATGAACATTAAAATGGTATAAAATACCGACAGATTGTTAGGTAAGACACATTTTGTGTCTTACCTAACAATCTGCGGTATTTTATACCATTTTAATGTTCGTCGTCTATGTCGTTTTGTAAACTGTGAACAACAACGGGCCCAACACTGACCTCTGTGGAACTCCGCTTGTGACGTGCCCCCATTCTGATTTCTCCCTATTTATGCAAACTCTCTGCTGCCTATTCGTCAACCATGCCTCAACCCCGGAAAAAATTTCTCCTCCCAGTCCGTGTGCCTTAAGTTTCCTCAATAACCTCTGAAGTGGAGCACTATCGATAGCCTTACTGAAGTCCATAACCAATATCATATTTAATACCATGATCTACCTCCTCAATACCTTAGTGAAGCAAGTCAGTAAATTCGTAAGAAGGAACGCACTTTGTAAAACCGTGCGAGATTCATTAATCAATTTATGCCCTTTTGAGATGGCTACGAATTGCTTCGGCAATTAATTGATTCCATAAGTTTCCCACTGTGGAGGTAAGGCTTATTGGTCTATAGTTCGAAGTAGGGACCTGCACCTGCCTTGTAATAGGTATTACATTTGCCATTTTCCATTTATCAGGCAAATATGCCAGTTTGTAGTGATATGTTGAAAAGATTAGCCAAAGGCATGTTAGTTAGTTTAATTGTTTATTATGCATCCCATACCCATCCTGTGGGCGGAGTCAAAAGATTACAGAGGTACATAAATTTGGGCCAGGGACTGGACTCCAAAAATTTTGA